ACGGCGCCCTCTTCCACCCTATTCATGGATCTGGCACCGTGTGACCTCTGACTCTTCCTTTGAAGTCAAAATGACCAGGACAGGTCAATATTTTGAATAGATTCAGGCATAGTTGAGGCAGCCATAACTAAAGACACTCACAAAAGACTTCCAGAAATGCTTCGGAAAGTAGCAAGAATGACGAGATGGGTGCGTTTGAAGCATGGGGGAGCTTTCTGAGGGAGACTAGTTGCGCTGTAATAATTTTCTTTAAATTTAGACCGCCATTGTAGGTTTTAATCATACACTGTATATATAGAGGCTAGTCATGAAGTTTCTGGGTAGTGGTAACTAAGTGCTTAACATTCTGAGGAATTGTCCAAATATTTTCCTCAAGCTATACCATTTATATTCCCACCAGCGCTGTAAGAGGGTTCAGATTTCTCCAAAGCTCTGTGAACAAGTTACTTTACATCTTTCCTGTTATAGGAATCCTGGTGAGTGTAAAGTGGCATCTCATTGTGCGGCTGATTTGCATTTCCCTAATGATTAATGACTTTGAACATCTTTTCATGGCCATTTGTTTATCTTCTTTAGAGAAATCTCTGCTCAGATCCTTTGCTTATTTGTTAATTGGATTGGCTTCCTACCACGGAGTTATTAACAGTTTGTTTGTTTGTTTTTTTTTTTAGATTGTCAGACATTAGACCCTTATCAGACAATTTGCAGATATTTTCTTCTATTCCTTGGTTATCTTTTCATTTTTGCAAATGTTTTATGAGGCACAGAACTCTTTAATTTTGATGAAGTCCAATTTATCTAGTGTTAATTTGTTTGCCTGTGTACATTTTGAAAAAGCATGATTATATATTTTTTCAAGCAAAGTACCCAATAATCCAATACTTTCTTCTTACTTTCAAACATGACCATAATTTTATAAGCTTTCATTTTTCATTGAACTTCCCATCTTGACATTGTTGAGACTGCTTCACTTTTAAATTAAAAAATAGGAATTAACAAAAGCAATCAGTAGTTAATTCAATTTATTAAAATATTGTATCAATGTTAGCTCATCATTGTGTTTAATATTTCATCTCTTCTGTTGTTGAGGTATGTTCTTAATAATTCCTTTTAGTGAAAATTTTGGAGCGTTATGTTCTTAGTCTTTGTATTTCTAAACTTGTCTTTATTTTGCCTCAAACTTAAAAGACAATTTAGGTACAAACTTTGAGGGTCATAGTTATTTGTCCTCAAGATTTTGGAGGTGTTACTCTGATGCTGTCATGCTGGGATGCCTGCTCTCTGTCTAATTGTCAGCCTTTGGAATATTTTTACCACAGTCTTTTTAAGGGTTTTCTCTTTCTCCTTGATGTACCAGTTTCATTCCATCATGTAACAGTATGGGATAAGTTTTGTTTCCTTCTCAGTGCTTTTGATCTAAAGACCCATATCTTCTTTATGTTTGGAAAATTCTCCATTATTCAAATTCTTTTCGCTGCTGTTTTCTTCTTTCTTTTCTCTCCACTTAAACATCTGCTGAGACTTCATCCTCTGAGCTCTGGGAACTGTTCGTTCATATTGCTTGTGTCCGGGTCTCTGTGTTGTCTTCGTATTAATTTCCTTGGTTCTACCTATAAATTTACCAATTTCTTTAATTAGTGTCCTGTTTAGAATTTATTCCATTTATCGAGGGTTTTTCAAAATTTTAAAATGTAGTGAGTTTATCTTTTATGACCGCTTCTAAATCATCATTGCCTACCATTTTCATGCAGTATGTCCCTGTGTGTTTCATAACATCTTTTGTGGACATTAGTTTTTTATTAAGGACTCTGATATTTTCAATACTTGTCACACAGCTTTATGTAATTTCACCTTTCCATTGCGGGGACAAAATACCCAACACCTGCAACTTAACGGAGGAGAGGTTCATTTTGGGTCCTGGTTTCCAGAGAATTCACTCTATACTCGGTTGGCTCCAAAGCAGAAATGGCATGGTGGCAGGCACAGGTGAGGAAAGCCACTCCCCTCCTGGCAGGCAAGAAGTGAAGAGTGACATGACAGCCAGGGAAGGACCCACCCTATGAGTCATGTCACCGTGACCCACCTCCAGCCAGGCTCTACTTCCTAATGGCGTATTTAGCCATGAACTCATGAATAGATTAATCCACT